ATGCTAATCAAGTGCTCTACCACTTAAACCAGGCCTCTATTTTTTTTTTTTTAAACTTTGTTTTTGAGATAGGGTCTGGTCTTGCTAACTTTATCCTGGCTGGCCTCAAACTTGTAATCCTCCTGCCTCTTCCTCCCTAGTAGCTGGGATTACAGGCATGAAGCACCACACCTGGTCTATAGCTATTTATTTATTTATTTATTTTTAAGTGTAGCCTAGGCTGTGAATTTGTGATCCTCTGGCCTCATCCTCTTCGCCTCATTGATTACTGGCATGTGCCACCACAACCAGCAGGTTTTCTTGACCCAGAATCCAGTTCAAGGTTTTATACATTTCATTTTGATGGCTGTCTTTTTATTTTTATTTTTTTGGTGGTACTGAGGTTTGAACTCAAGGGTTTGCACTTACTGGGGAGGAGCTCTACCACTTAGCCATGCCCCTAGTCCTTTTTGCTTTAGATTCTTTTAGATAGCTGGCATTTGCCTGGGGTCAGCCTCAGACTATAATCCTTCTATCTGTGCCTCCCACTAGCTTGGGTTGGTTGAGATGCAGTCTTGGTAACATTTTGGGTGGTCTGGCCTCCAACCTCAATCCTCCCAATCTCTGCTGCCCAAATTGACTGGAATTACAGGTGTATATCACCATGCCTGGCTCTAACTTTTTAAAATCTGGCTTATTCCCTTACATTTTATCGTTCTCTAGAGGATTAATGTGTTTGAAGAGTATTGTGCAGTTGTCTTTTAAATATTCTGGATACGTTTAATTCTTTTGTTATTATTAAATTTGAATGATTAGATGTCTTACTTTGGATAATGCTAAATATGATTCCTTAGTTAAAGTGCTAACCAGCCATATTATTATAAAGGTTTATTTTCCCCTTTGTAATAAATGTATAATCTTAGGGATATATACAAATTTGAATGTAACTATTTTCACTTAAAATTATAATATACAATATGAAAAATTACAATTGCTGTGTCATATTAAACTCATCTGATATGCTAAATTTTTATGACCACATGATTTATTTTTATTAAAATAGTGCCTGTGTCGGGAGAGGTGGTAAATGCCTATTATTCCAGCACATGGGAAGCTGAGTCAGGAAGATAGAGAGTTCAAGGCTAGCCTGGGCTACATAGAAAGACCCTGTCTCAAAAAAACAAACTAATTCAAAACCATATAAAACAAAATCTAAAAAAACTCAACAATGCCTATTTATTGAATGTGCACTATATGCCAGACACTGTGTTAAGTACTTTATGTAGATTATCTCATTTTTCTAATTTTTTCTCATTTTTCCTGTCTATGAGATAGACATTTATTTTCTTCATTTGATAACACAAGACTTCAAAGTAAACTCACTGTAATTGTTTAAGTGTTAAAACTTGAATCCTTGTTTCTTAGTTCCAAAGCTAGAGCACTTTACCATTGTTATGCTCTTAGTATCATTTAAGGTTAAAGGTCAAGGAGGGCTGGGGATATACCTCAGAGGTAAAAGTCCACGCTTACCATGCCTGAGGCCCTGGGTTTAATAATCCCCAGCAACACACACACACACACACACACACACACACACACACACACACGCGTGCATGCAAAGTCTCAAGGAGTCATTTTCTTACCTTGGTGGTTTTCTTACATTTATTTTTAATTGTGCTAAAATACGAATAACAAAATTTACCATCTTAACCATTTTTAGTGTACAGTTCAGTAGTGTTAAATATACTCACATCTTATAAAAGCAATCTCTAGAACTGTTTTCATATGCAAAACTGAAACTCAATACTTATAAACAACTCCCTATTCCTCTCTCTTCTCATTCCTTGGCAACTACCATTTCTACTTTCTGTCTGTGTAATTTTGACTACTCTACATATGTTATGTAAGTGGAATTATACAGTATTTGTTTTTCTGTGACTGGTTTTTACTTAGCATAATATCCTTATGCTTTATCCATGTTGTAGTATATATCAGAATTTCCCCCCTTTAATAGGCTAAATAATATTCTGTTGTACCATATATTGTTCACCCTTTCAATGTCAATACACACTTGTGTTGTTTCTTCCTTTTGGCTGTTGAATAATGCTGCTATGAACATAAGTGTACAAATCTTATAGTGCTTTTCTCTTCATATCCTTTCCCCAATGTCTGCTACCAAAAAAAAAAAAAAAAGAAGAAAGAAAGAGAAAAAGAGAGGTACTCTGCCTCCTTAAGAAAACACATGGATAAATAAATCTTTTACTGGCGCATAGAAAGTGTATTATAAATTCCCCTTAACTATCGTTGCCTTTGTTTTCACTGTGTCCTTCCAATGTGTCAGGCCTTCTAGTCACTGCAAGACAAAGATGGGTACAGTGTAGATTCTGGTCCCAAGTGCTTTATAGCCTAGTGAGAAGATATTTTTGTACACATCTATGTGATGAGTGTTACACTGGTGTTATGAATAGTCCTGAGGTTGTATAAAGAAAACCACAGGATGGAAATAACATAATTAAACCCCTTTGTGCAACTAATACATGCTAAAGAAATATTAGAAATCTCTATGAATTTTATAAAAGTTATAAGAATAGATAGATATATTAATGAGATCACAGAGAATGAAGAAATGTTCAGAATTGCAATTGGAAATTTAGTGTTCAAAAATGATCACTTCTAATCACTCAAGAAATATGAACATGTTAATAAATGACTTGAAGACTGGTAGAGTGGCTCAAGTGGTAGAATGCCTGCCTAGCAAGGGTGAGGCCCTGAGTTTAAACCTCAGTACTGCCAATAAATAAATAAATGCATAAAATGACTTGGTACTAGAGAAATATGTATAGAAAAGATTAAAATTTTTTTTAAAAAGGAAAGAAACCACAAATTGTTCATAAAGAAATTCAAGGAAGACTTTAGAGAGGTGTGAATATTTGTGTGTGGCCTTGAAAGATAAATAGAATTTGGGGTTAAGTGGGGCTGGGGCTGGAGGAAAGGAGAGAGAGAATATTATGCAAACAAAAGACAAAATGAGTTATGCATATGTTCTCAACATCTTATCTCCTTATTTAAGGCAGTAGGGTTTTTTTTGTTGTTTTTTGTTGATACTGGGGTTTGAACTCAGGGTCTCATGCTTGCTAGGAAGGCACTCTATACTGCTCATCCCACTCCACCAGCCATGGGTAGTGTGTTTTATTCTGATTAGTTTGAAATGCAGAGCCAGCGTAATGGCAGATACGTATAGTTCAAGACCAGCCTGGGCAACATAACAAGATGCTATCTCAAAAAATCTCTGAATTTTACACATTGTTTTGATAGCAAGCTTCCTTAAAAGCAAACATTTTGTTAAAAATTCAGAGACAGTTTTCAGATGATGGAGAAAAAGTGACTTTTTGATGGAGAGCCCTTATTAAAACACAGATGCTTTCTGTAAATAGAGTTGGAAAAACACCATCAGTGAGTTCCTTGTAGATAAATGTTTTAACTTAACCATGCAGGATCTGAAAAGGAAAGCTGCTTCTCTTTCATCACTCAAGGGGTACATAACAACAGAATCATTGATGCCTTGAGAAGAGAGTTGGCTTCCAAATCTCTCGAAGTGATCTAGAAGAGGGAGAGGCCGCCAGTGTTCTGCCTCAGTTTTTCTGAGTAGGAAAAGCAGGACACTATATTTTGTGACTCTGAGTATTTTGTTCCTAGCTTTCCTGTTCTGGTCTGGCTACCCTGAAACCTTGTTGCTTTAAGTGTGAAATATAAGCTGTGATGGCTGTCCTGTGTTAATAGATATATTAAACTTCTGGGGCTATTGTCATTTTAGGGAGTTTCTGGAGGTTGAAGAGTTTCATACTTTCTTCTGGAATTCCTACTTGGTTAAGTGTAGCATAGTAAAATACTCCTAAAGCCCATACAATGATAAATACTTTTTGCATAGCAGATCCCTGTTGTGCAAGACCTGAAATGATTTTGTTTTACCAGAAACTTGGGAGGTTTTGTATGATTTTTCTTCTGCCCCAATCACAATTCCTCATCAGGAAACTCAGACATCTCAGTGAATAATTGAACTTCTTTTGTGTAAGACAACATATTTTCTCTGGTAGTTTCATTTTGCTGCTCCTGAGACCACATCCACAGTGAAACATAGTTAATATTCTTTCAGTTAAACTATATGGCTTTTAAAAAGCTGTGAGGTGTGCTTTGAAATGAGAAAACAATATTTGTATATGTAAAATTGACTTCTATAGTGAATGCTTTTAGGAATAGACTTTCCTCTGTTTATATAGATAATAGTGAGTGGTGTGACCCATGTTTGTTGAATTTAACCTAAGTGTGTTTAAATGATGATAAAGTGTTTGGGTTGGAGCTCTAAAAGGCTCACCGACTTCTCTCTCTCTCTCTCACTCTGTCTATATATATATATTGTGTGTGTGTGTGTGTGTGTGTGTGTGTGTATGTGGTGTTTGAGATCGAATCCAGGGCTTTGTACATGCCAGGCAAGTGTTATACCACTGAGCTACACCCCCAGTCCCTTCTTTTTTCTTTTTTCTTAGAAATATATTTTTATGGTGGTTGGGGGAGGCTATAAAAGTATGTGAAGTTCGTGTCTTATAAAAACAGTTTTATAGTTCATTAAGATAAGGCTTATGTATATGTCTTTTTTTGTCCACACTTAAAATTCCACAGAAGAGACTTTTTCCTCTTGGTATTCTGACTCACCAATGTTGGTCATAAAGAACTACTCTAGAAATTTTGCCTCTTTTTTTTTTTTTAGGGTATTAAAAAAGGACATGATTTATTGAGGTATTATTAAAATGTTTTCTGGTTAGCTCATTGTGAAGCAATTTTGGTCATGGGTGGAAATAATAAATTCATCTTCATTAGTGGAAATGAAGCTGTAATGTAGTTAGATATTTATTTTAGCTAAACTGGTAGTAAAACATGTTGGCATGTTATGCACGTGGAGACTTTGACCTCATAATACAGCTGCTGCCCTTGACACTCTTTTCTTATTCTGTGCAATTTTTTAGGTGCGACACCGAGCTTCTGGTCAGGTGATGGCTCTTAAGATGAACACATTGAGTAGTAACCGGGCAAACATGTTGAAAGAAGTGCAGCTCATGAACAGACTCTCTCATCCCAACATCCTTCGGTAATGGCTTTTCCTTCCTTCTGGGGAGCTTTCTGAGAAAGCTGAAACTTTGGAGTCTTGCTAGAATAGCCTTGACAAACCCAGAATTTATCTGCTCAATCTCCTTTGCTGGGGTTTAGCTGTGCTCCAGGTCTTTCTCTCCCCATTGAGACCTAATGTTCTGGTAACTAACTGCATTTAATAAAGCAACTTCTCCTCTCAAGTTGCTTTATTCTCATTAGAGCATTAGTAGCAGCTCATTAGAACAGTTGTTTCCTCTTGCTAATTAGTAATTTATCAAGGAGAAAAGACTGGTCTTCATGTGGTTATTTAATTTTCCTAATTGCTTTATGAGGAATTATAATTAAATGGATGAATAAAAATAAAAGCAAAAGTATGCCCTATTTATCTACCCTAAACTTTTAGCACTCACTTGAGGAAACAGTTTGCCTTTGAGAATTATTCTTATATATAATAAAACTATATAGTTACTCACTTTCTAGTAATCAGTATCTGAATATTTCTCACTTTTAATTATCTTAGGCAAATATATTTCCAAATCAGACCAAACTAGACATTCAATTTAAAATATACTTATATTAAATATATTCAATTTAATATATATATATATTTAATTTGAGTTTTTGTGTAAGATGCTTTGAACTATTAAAAGTGCTATTCACATAGGGTCATTTATTGCTAATATTTTGTGTAGTTATATTGAACTAGAGAAAAGTCATATGGCTTAAGTAGGACTTATATGTTTGGTCAATGGTACTAAATTCTGGAATTAGAGTATACTGCTTGAAACTTTCTGTCTTTATATAGAATCATTTTATCTGTCCAGTCTAGTTCAAAAATATTTGGCTAGCATATTTATTGTGACAACTTGATTTTTAATTCATAAATTCCATGAACACATTTTTGGGCATACTATATATTATGCCTGGTGGTGTCAGACATCAGAAAGGTATAAAAGTATATTTAAAGTAAAGTGCCTGCTAGCACTCTAATTGGGAATCTAGGACTTAACTATATGGAATGTGAACTAGTAAAATCAAATAGGACTATTTGGGTATAATAAGTCCAAGTTCAAAGAATTAAGAGGTCATATTAACTTGACAGAATCAAGTCTTAAAGGAGGGGACTTGGACCTTGAGTTTTAATAGGTTTTAGAAGAGGAGAAGGAACTCCAAAAGGAGGAAAATAGTGACATAAACATAGATGTAAAAGTGCAGAGCTTTTTGAGGAGGCAGTGATTGAAAACCTATTTGGCTTGTTGTATACTGGTACTTATTTAAGTGTTTAATTTTAACTACCACTCCCCATTAAAGGATCCAAGGCCCAGACATTATGTTTTGGCCACAGCCTTTGATTCTAAAGCCTAGATTCTATCAGGCTTCTAGAAAAACTGAGAATTTGATAGGACATTGTTGGTAGATAAATGTGGAAAGATAGAATCACACTATATTATTCAGAAATGGGTTGCCTAAAGCCAAAAAGGTTGCATTTTATGCTTGTGTGTTGGATTCTGGGCAGAGACTAGTAAATCCTTGTTACTTGGGAGGCTGAGATCAGGAGGATCACGGTTCAAGGCCAACCCAGACAAATAGTTCAAGAGATTTCCCCTCCCCATCTCCAAAAATAATAAGAACAACAGCAACAACAAAAAATGGACTGGAGGTGTGGTTTAAGTGTAGAGTGCCTGCTTTGCAAACATGAAGCCCTGAGTTCAAACCCCAGTCCCACCAAAAAAAAAAAAAAGAAAAAAGAAAAGAACTTGGGTCATAGCTTAAGTGGTAGCATGCTTTCTAGGCTGGTTAGGCCCTGAGATCAAACCCCAGTACTGCCAAAAAAAAAAAAAAGTGAAAAACCAAAAAGCTTAAAGATGTAAAATCTACTAGAAGAATATGGGAAAAGTTTCATAGCATTAGTTTGGGCAAAAGTAGATGTAAGCAACAAAAGCAAAAATGGACAAAATTAGACTGGATCAACCCCAAGGAAACAATGGAGCTTAGAGACAATCCCTAGAGTAAAAGAAAAAAGTAGATGGGATTGGAGTGGTAGAGCACTGCCTAGCATGCTCAAGGCCCTGGATTTGATCCACAGCACAAAAAAATAAAAGTGCAGTGGGGAGAACCTACATAGACACTTCTCAAAAGAGGACACACAAATGGCCAATAGGTTCATGAAAAATTACTCAACATCACCAATGGTTAGGGAAATGTAAATTAAAGCCACAATGAGATACTGGTTACCTGTTAGAAGGGCTATTATGAAAAAGATGAAGGATAAAAGTTGTCAGGGAAATCCCTGTACTACTTTGGTGGAAATGTAAATGAGTATAGCCATTATGGAAAGCAGTATGGAGGTTTCTTAAAAACACAAACAAAACAAAACTCTGAAAATACAACTACCTTATGACGCAACAGTCCCACTGGGTTTGTTTCCATGTTCATTGCAGCATTATTCACCTTAGCCAAAACATGGAATCATCTTAGGTGGTAATCAGTGGATGAATGAATAAAGAAAATGTGGTGAAAATAGACACGCACAATTAGAATACCATGTAGTCTTAAACAAGAAGGAAATTCTGAAAGAAGACAGGTATAGAAAGACAAATATCACACTTTCACTTACAAAGTGGAACCTAAAAAAGTTGATCCCATAGAAGTATGGAGTAGAATGTTAGTCGGTTACCAGAGGGCTGGTGGGATAAAGATGGATTGGAAAGATGTTGGTCAAAGGATGCAAAATTTCATTAGACAGAAAGAGTAAGTTTTTGAGATTTATTGTATAACATTGTGACTATAATTAAAAATAATGTAGTGTAGGTGAGACTGGTGACTCATGTCTGTAAAATTAGCTGCCCAGAGAGGGAGAGATGGGGAGGCTTGTGGCAAAAAATTAGTGAAACTCAGGGCTGATAGAGTAGCTCAAGTGGTAAAGTGCCTGCCTAGCAATCACAGAGCCCTGAGTTCAAATCCCAATACTGCTAAAAAAATAAAAAAGTTAGCAAGACTCCATTTCACCAAACAAGGTAGGTGTGTCAGTGTACACCTGTCATCCCTGCTACACCAAAGGCATAAATAGGAGGATCATGATCCAGGCTGGCCCAGGCAAAATCAGAAGACCCTATCCAAGAAATAACTAAGGCAAACAAGGGTTTAAAGTGTCTCAAGTGGTATAAGCACAGGCCCTGAGTTTAAAAAAAAAAAAAAAAGTAGTATGTATTTCAGAATTGCTAAGAAATTAAATTTTACATGCCTTCACACACACACACACACAAAAAGATGTAAACTTATGGATATAGTAATTAGCTTGATTTAATCATTCCACAATGTGTACTTACATGAAAACATCACAATGTACCCCATAAGTATATATACTTAGTACTTGTTTATTGAAAATGTGTAATATAGTCTAAATGATTAAAAACAAAGGTTCAAGCTATTGGATCAAACTGCTTAGATTCAAATCTTATATCTTGGGAAAGTTACTTAACCTTGCTTAGCCTTAGTTTTCTCATCTATAGAATATCTATAAAATGAGGGTGATGACAGGAAACACCTCACAGAGTTGCTATTGAGGATTAAATAAGTTAGTACATGGAAACCAATTAGGGAACTTCTCAGCAAATATTAGCCATTATTATTGATTTATTTTCCTTTGGCCTGTTCTTTCAACTGCTTATTCCAGCCTGCCTGTTTTTCTTTTCTTCATTCATTCACTTACCAAACATTTCTTGAATGTCTGCACTGTTTTTAATACACTCAAAGTTTTCTGCCAAAGTAATGCTGCCCAATAGAACTTTCTGCAGTGATGGAAATGTCCTGTATTTGTGCTGTAAAATAACTCCACAATGACTGGTGAACATTGAAATGTGACTAGTACAAGCAAGTAACTGAATGTTTTGTTCATTTTGATTTAAATTTAAATTGCCACAAAAAGCTAGTGACCTCCTAGCATTTGGGCAATGCTAGGCTGGAGTTCACTTATATCTTTGCCCTTGTTTCAGTGGACATATATGTGTTCCAGCCTAGAAGTATGTAGTGTTGTATGAGACCATGTTATCCTTGCTATTCTGAAGTCTCCTTGATGTACTTTCCAGCTTTTCTCCTTCTGGTTGGATTGCTTAGAAATAACTCCTACTCCCATTTTATTTGTTTGTTTGTTTGTTTATGTTTGTGTTTCTAAGGAGACAACCCAGGGCATTGTGCATACTTGGTAAGTTCTTTACCTGTGCTACACCACAGCCCCACTTCCTTTAAATTATAAAAATAGTAGTCTTTGATCTCAGCTTTGTAATATATAAAAGATAGTGTGAACAGTATCTCGACGTGCACAACAAAGGCAACAAATGAGATAATGTATATAAAACTTCTGGCACAGGAATAGTCACCTTGTAAATATAATATGTGAAAACTATAATTACTCTTAGCCATGTGGGTTTGCATTCTGATGTGGACTGTTTGGTTCTACATAAGCCATCTGTCCCAAATACACAGCAGTTTAAAAGCTTGGAAGTGGATTACTTTTTAAAAGAAAGCCTCTAATTGTTTATATTTTCATGTTTTTGTGCTTTACTGTCATTGTGTATTTTAACAAAAGGAAATTATCCTAACCAGTGGCCTAGAGCAAAAACAAAGTCTTCTTGGCTTTTGTTATTCAGGGGAATACTACAGCAGTAGAAACATTTATTATACTCTCTAGGACACTTTAAATATCAAATTGAGCATGACAATGTTGCAGTCTCCAAGTTCTTAGAGTTTGTGTTTCCTAAATGCTTTCTAGTTGTGTTGACAATTTATTATAAACCCTTATTTTTGTTAGTATATCTTTCAGTTTGTCTTCAAGCTATAAATACTGTAAGTTCTCTTTTATAGGTACAGGAGCTGAGGCAGAAGTATGATCCATAGACCTCTCCTCCCCCCCAAGTTGAATTTATTAGATCTAAATTAAGAAGAATCCATTTCTTGGACCCCTATAATTTTCACAGATGTGCCGTCTTGGCAGCAGGC